CTGGCCTTCTTAAGCTGAGGAGGACTGCAGTGAGCACCCTTCCCGCTGAATCACATTGGGTAATGTCAACAACTCCCCAAAAGGAGCAACACTGTCTTGAGTCAATACTGACTCACACCGACACTCCATCAGGTTTCCAAGGCTATAACTCTTTACAGGAGGAGACTACCCATTTTTTTCCCCCATGAAGCAGCTTGTGAATTTGAACCACGGACCTTTGGGTTAGCAGCCCAATACCATGTCCACTTCAGTTTTATTGGAGTTTACTTACTAGCCCTCCAGCTGTGTCCTAAGTCTTGCAGGAAGAGTGGGCAGGCTTCACTAGCCTGATGGGAACTTAGTCCCCAGCCCCTCCCCTTTGGTGGGCAATTGGAAAGAGCAGGGACTATGGACAGAACAGAGGTGGGCTTCTGTCCTGGCCATCACTTCTCAGCTGCTTGTTTTCTTTAGTCTTCATGGTTCACCTTGACGTGGCCTCCCCTCTGACCTTAGTCCTGACCTTACTTTGAGAGGACAGGTGGGGAGCCCTCCAGTGGTGGAGCCGTTTCCTGCCTGCCAGGCAGAAAGACGTGGTAGGTGTGGGTGCTCATTCCCCATACATCTCCGCCTGGTACGGAATTAGCTCCCCACCCTCCAAACTACATGGAGGACTCTGGGCCCTAGACAGGCACATGTGACCTCATTTGGAAACTGGGCTTTTTGTTCATTAGTAAGGTGAAAAGCAATGTAGAGTGCATCCTAAACCGAGTCCCTTTTGAGTTCTAAAAACCTCACAAAAGACAGAACCACAGACACAGGGGAACACTGACACCATGTCATTTAAGAGCCAAGTGTTAGTTGCCAAGGAAACAAGGGCAATCAACACAGAAGGACTTGACATAGCCAAGATCCTGATTTGGATTTTTAGCCTCCAGAATTGTGGAAAAAAGACATTTTGGGTTATTTTTAAAGCCAGCCATTCGCGGTATTTGTCACAGCAGCACTAGGAACGGTGGATCCCACCCTTGGCCCTGAGATCATCTCCTGCCTGCCACGTCCCCCCACCCCAGAGCCCACATGGGCCTTTCCCTCCAGGCCTCGTCATCCACCCCTCAAGTCGACCCTGCTGCCTTGCATCGTTAGTCTTTATTTGTTCTTCTGGATCCTGCCTGCGTGTAGGAGCCCTTGGGGTCTCGGGAGCTGAGCCAGGGCAGTCAGGAATACTTGTCCACGGTGAACAAGGCAGGCTGGCAGTGAGACGGCTGGACAGATGGCCGGGTGGTGAACGCACCTTCCCAGCTAGGGGCAGTGGCAACAATAGCCTTTCTGATCTCCTGCCAAAGAGGCCATATGCATCAGACTAAGTTGCCTGGTGAGGTTAGCAGCTAGTAGAGGGAAATAGGAGAGACCAGGAGAGCGAGGGATGTCATTTTTGGATGACCTTGGTCTCCTTTGCCTTCTTCCAGATCAGCCCAGGACCTTCTTAAGAGCTAAGACCATGAGGGATGTCCAAGGATCAGCTTTAGGTTTGTCTGACCCCAAGGCACATGCTTTTCCCACCACGATTCTCCTTATTCACCTAGATCTGTGCTCACTCCCTTTGCTGGTGGAAATACATATAACCTTTCAAGTTCAAGATGCAGAAGCTCCAAGGAGCTGCTACCCCACAGTGAGGGGACTGAGGGAGGCGAGGCAGACAAAGAAGGCTAACGGAAGGCATGAGAAATGGCATACTTTATTCATAAATAAAAACATAAAATTACCAGAAATTGTTTACATGGCCAGAAAATAGCATCAAAAATAGAACAAAATGAAGCTGGCAAAAGCAAACCAAATCAAACAACAACCAAAAACAATAAAGAGAAGAATATCTATGTACATATTCTTCCAAATGCTCATCCATCCAAAGCCAGCCTCCACTGGAGTTCCCGGCTCCCCTGAGGTCACTGCACAAACACCAGTGGTGAGTGGTGAGGGCAGCTCTCCAGTCTAGGGGCACAGCCTCCAAGGCGGCTAGGGAGAGCTCGGCCCCAGGGATGTCCTCCTCCCACCGCTCAGCCTGGCTTACCCCTGGACAACTCTCCCCCGAGAGATGGCCCCATAAGGACCCAGACAAGGTGGGGCCAGGTAGGGAGGACCTGGTGGCTCAGAGACTACCTGAGGCAGGACAGGCAGCCCAGAGAGAGATGGGCCCCAAGCACCCAAGAATGCCAAGCAAAGGACATGACTTCCGGAGGGGAGAGCATCCAGGGGCCCCTCAGAGCCTGATCACCCCATTCTCAAGGCCCAGGCAAAGTTCATGGTGAAGTGGTACTGCTTCTTTGGAGACAGAAGGATGGGATCATTTTCAGGCCAGACAGACATTCTTGAGGGAGCAGAGTAGAGGGCTGGCTAGCAAGCAAAAGCAGGAGAGCTCAGGGATGGGGTGCGGGGTGGTAGGGAGCCCTCTCTGGCCCAGGCTCCGAGGACTGTGGCACCTGTCCAGGCCCTGCTCAGCTCTGGTGTCCAACGTTCCTTCAGGTGAGGTTGGGTTCAGCAGTTTCCTGGAATAGTGAAGATGGCTCTTCCACAGGACAGAGGAGGAAGACAGGGAGGCAGGGTCTAATGCTGCAGGACGCCACCTAGGGCTACATGCCACTCTGGTGTCTCAGGCTGGTGCAGCCCAAGGAGGGCATCTGCCACCTTGGATTGCTGGCCTGGCCTGGCTAGAGTATGGGGGACTGTGGGGAAAGCAGTGCTCTCCCAGGTGGAGGGTGTGGCCCACCACAGAGAGGCTTGTTCTGCACAGAAGCCCCTCCTGGCTGAGCACCCACCTCCTCTGGGGCCTGGCCTTGAGGGTGGGGACTGGGTCTCTGGCTGCTCTTTCTTGGAAGCCTCCCAGCCAGCCCAGTTATCCCCATTGGGCAATGCTACTGGAAAGGACACAGACAAGGCACAGTCTGGTGTGACCTGGAGGAACCAAGGAGGTGGGAAAGACACGGTGAGCACAATGGTGGACGCAGGGAAGGGATTTCGGGCCTGACGACTTGAGGCTGAAATCTAACCTGTGACTAGGACCAATGGCTTGAATTCCAGAAAAACCTACTCTGTCAGGTAAAAGCACAGGACAGGCACAGCTTAACCTCAGGGACTGGCAGACAGGCAGCAGACCCCAGGGAAGGAGGCTCCGCCCTCAGCTACACTCAGGGAAGGAGCTGTGATGGGAGTGTGGCAAGAAGGGCTGCCCCTACCTGCTCCCAAGCTGCTGAGAAAAGGAGGCAGAAGTGGAGAAGGCTTGAACAGTGAAGGACCCAGGCCCTTCCCTCAGCCTCTCCTCTCTCAGCAGGCAGGCAGGAGGCTCAGGAACCCAGCAAGGGCTGGTGTCTTAAGAGCAGCAGCTGTGGCGAGAGTCAAAAATAGAACAGGAACAGTCTGGCTGCCTGCTTGATCTGCTTGCTTCGGAAAAGACATGGAGCGGGGGGTGGGGGGGGGGAAGGAAGAGAAAGAAAATTCCTTGAACCGAGCAACTGAAAAACTTCATCTCTTCTCCACTCCCAGTTCTGTACCTTTCAGAAGAGAAGTCCTAGCACCCCTGGGCATGGGACCATCCCCAGTAAGGCTTCAGCTCTCTGGATTCTTCACGGTTCTAGGAGCTCATGGTGAAGGGGCTGTTGGTGGCCCTGGTTCTTCATAAGGCTGCTTATTCTCCCAGCCTGAGGCTCCAGCTTAGGGGCACACCAGGACCCCTCCTCCTAATCAGTAAGACTCTTGTTTAAATTTAGCACTGAACATGCAATGGAGAAATGAAGCCCAGAGGGCCAGAGGCAGAGGTGGGAAATGCCCATATATGCACCATCTTAGTGGAGGTGGGTACTGTGGGTGGCACATACGGTTAGGCTCGGCTGCTAACTGAAAGGCTAGTGGTTCAAATCCACTGAGCAGCACTTCAGAAGAAAGATCTGGTGATCTCCTTCTATTTAAGATTACAGCCAAGACAGCCCTGTGGAGCACTTCTATTCTGTAGTCTATGGAGTCAGAATCGACTCAGTAGTAACGGGTTTGGGTTTTGTTGGTTTAGAGTGGTGAGCAATGGGTTGATCTTTGGAGAGAATCCAGAGGCCAACTGTTTCCTACTTGAAAAGATCTAGAGGTCTCCCTGCAACAATCAGAGATCCTGACCCTCCCTGCATCAGGCTGCCTTCAAACTGCTTCCCAGAGCCCAATCCATGGCCTGGTGTCAATGGCTTTAAGAAGAGAGCTCCATGAGGTCAAAGGCTATCCCCAGGCCAGTCACCTCCAGCCAGGACCAGCAGGGAGAAGCTCAGGTTCCAGCCCGTATCTGCCATGATCCTCACTAGTGAGCTTCTCCCTTGACCTCCTCTGGGTCTCGCCATGTCTCCACACTCCTGGGCTCTCCAGCCCTCCCCTCCTGCTCTGGCTTCTCCAGTGGCGGCAGCTCTGATGTTGCCAAGCCAGGCTCTGCACACTGACGCCAACCTCTCCTTATCTCTGCAGCCAGAGGAGAAGAGCCGAGGTTATGGTGGGGTCAGATGGCAAGGTTTCTAGTCAGGAATGGTTTCCTTTTATCCCCAAGGAATCCTAAGATATCCAGGGAGAAAAGACCGTGGGAAAAGAAAAGGGATGGAAAGTTCTGCCCTGGGAAGGGGCGCACCCAGCCTCTGGGGCCGCCACCAACTTCCTAGGAAGAGGGTGCCTCTTTTTTCAATGGCTTGTGTCAGCCCACCCAAGGCCTCTGCTGGGGAACGAGTGGGGCTTAACCAAAGCAGGGAGACCTCTGTGCCTCTTCTCTGGGGAAGGCCAGGGGAGTCAGAACCTATTTCTGGTGAATAAAGGGTTGGTGAACACCAGGAGATGGAACGGGTAGAAAGGCTGATCCCCAAACCCTCCCTCCACTCCAGGCTCTATGTGTGTGTCTGGGGATTGGCTTAGCTTCGAAGCCTAAGCAGGGAGACTGAGCAGGTAAGTGGCCTCTCACGGGCTCAGCACCCCTGCTCCCAATGCCTGGCCTTACTCCTCCCACTTCAGATCTCAGTGGCTATGATGTCCTCATAGGGGATGTCGGCCCCTTCAAGGTCAATCTCAAAAGGCTCTCCTGCACCCTCCCCTCGGGCCAGCTGCTGCAGGGCCTTTTCGAGGCGTTGGTTGCGCTGGTACATGGCCAGGTAGCTCTGTTGTAGCTGCTTCTGGTACTGGATCACCTTCTCCTTCTCCTCCTTCCACACCAGCCGCTCGTGCTGGAAGCCTGAGGACAGCTGGTCATGGCCCTGCCGCTCCTCCTTCAGCTCAGCCCGCAGCCGCTCCAACTCCCGCTGCAGGGCTGGGATGTCCTCGGAGAAGGCAGCGCCCTGCCCGGCACCCAGGCCCCGCAGGGCGGCGCCCTCCCGCTGCAGGGCAAGCTGGGCCCGTAGCTCCAGCAGCTCCTGCTCCAGCAGGTTCACCTTCTCTCGCAGCAGCTCAGACTCATTCTTCTTGCGCTGCAGCTCATTCTCGCAGACCTCCAGCTCCAGGCCCTTGGTGCGCAGGGCGCTCTCCAGGTCCTGGGTCTTCAACTCCATGCCTTCCAGTTTGCCCCGAGCGTCCTTCAGCTGAGCCTTCAGATTGAAGATCTCATTGGTCTTGGCATTGACCTCTGTCTGGGACTCCTTCAGTTGCTGCTTCAGGAGTGAGATCTCGCCTGATTTCTGACACACCTGCCAAGGGTGAGGGCCGGGAGGAAAGAAGATGCCAAGAAGTGAGTTTCCTCAGCGCATTCTATATTGGTGCCTTACTTGAGTCTTCAAACATGGTGGCCTTGATGGCACATGATGGTCAAGGCAAAAAACCAAACTCATTTCCCCTGAGTTGATTCTGACTCATAGTCAGAATCCTATAGTCAGGCCCTATTAGAACAGAGTAGAACAGTCCACAGGGTCCCCACTGCTGTAAATCATTCCAGAAGCAGACTGCTACATTCTCCTCATAAGGAACATGGTAGGCTTGAACCTCTGACTCTCTGTTAGCAGCTAAATGTTTAACACTGTACCACCAGGGCTCCAGACAGAAGGCCAAGCCCCTCTAAAGACATCTTTCATTCTCCATCCCAGCTTAGTCCACAGGCCTGCTTTATTCTCAGTTCAGGATCTACATTTCAACTTGTGTCAAATCAAAGGAATTGGTTCAATGTACCCAAGCCTTGTGGCTTCATCTGCTACATTAACACCAATACTCTTGAATTCAGTGTCCATCTTATTTCTATAATTCCTATTTATGGGTAAACCCTCTGACCTCACCCCTACACCCTACTACACCCAGCTCTCCTCAAAGACTACATTCACATATGCACCAAGGTGTCACCAGAGACTAAAGCGCCATGCTTGGCTCATAAATAGGGACCAATAAAAAGCTGCTGAATGATGGATCTTGTTTCTTCATCTGTCTTATGGCTTCACCTTTTCTACTCCTACACCTCAAACTGTGACCAAGAGCCGTGATAATGCAAACCGAAGAACTCTAGAAGACCCACTTTTCTCTGGTGTACTGGCCATTCAGGGTCCAAGGTGACCCATAAGAAGACCATGAGCAGTCTGGCAGGCTGCCTCTTGAGAGTGCTTACTGCTGTCCCATGATGACCATGATGGACGTCCAGAGCAAAGGCCAGCTTCTGGCCCACTCCAGAACGGAACCTCAGAGTAAGACTAGACGCTACTTTTACTTGTCTTCTCAAATGGGGAAATTCCTCGGATCTCTCAGGAGCTGGCACTAGAACACAGCACAGGTTCAGTCACCCACAGCGTTGACCTGGGACTCTGGGAATGCTTTCCCATGTCCAAGCCATATTCATTCCAGGTAGGGATCAGTACAAGGCATGGCTGAGGCACAGGCTCTGAAGAAGACCACCTTGATCTGAATCCTGCCTCCATCCCTTTGGACACCAGGGAACCTGGCTGCATTTGTGCATGGTGGTATAGAACAGTGATCAGCAATGTGAACTCTGGGGCCCAACTCAGGATCAAACTGTAGCTCTTAACATGCCATGACTTTGGCTGGATAGGTCATTAATTCCTATACAACTTCTCTGTGCCTCAGTTTCCTTAATTATAAATGAAATTAAAATTTAGTATCAGTGCCTACTTCATAATGCTGTTGTAAGGTTGAAATGGGAAGACCTAGGGCATGGCATTAACAAATACCCTAAATAATGATTTATGATTAATAAAAACCTGTTAATAAGATGCTTATGTATCATTATAAAGGACACATATATGCATACTTTTTTATTTGAGCTTTTACTATGTTGTCTTGCTGAATAATCTGGGAATAAGGTCCCAGCACTGTTCAGCTTGACTTGAAAGGACAAACAAGGATGGATGCTTAACACTAGCACTAGGTCTACCTCTGAGAAGCCTCAGAGTGCTGCAGTCCTGGTCTGCCTGGTAAGCCATGGCTTGGGTTGAGTCTGCTGCACTCACAACAATGAGGAAGAGCAAAGGCAACACTCAATAGCCAACATAGGCTTCTCTTTGGGGAAAAATGGCAAAACAGTAAAGAACTCTTTTCATTACCTGCCCACTCCCCCAACCCACCTCGTCCAGACAAAGAATTGTTTTATTATTCTCTGCTCCTGGATACACTGGTCAGTGAAGTTCCCAGGACATGTGCAGGACATTCCAATGCAAAGAAGACTGCTGTGCTCTTGTGGGTGGACACTAACCTGGCTAGGATGCTGGTCGACCCAGGCCCTGACATATAGGGTTTGACAAATGGTCTTGAGTTCCACTTCCCAGGGTAGGATGGGGTTGTACAACATAGCTGCCATATGCAAGCCCCTCTCACCTCATCACCCCAGGCCTCTCCAGGTAAGAAAAGCGTCTTTTCCACTCACAGGATGTGGGTTTTACACTGGTTTTTCTACAAGGTTGGTCAAGATGCTCCATTCCCAGGTGTGCCTGAATGGGACGTGTGTGTGTGTGTGTGTGTGTGTGTGTGTGCGCCTGCCCTCCACCTTGGCCCATCCAATAGAAGCTTCCACTAACAAACACTTCTGCAATGGATGGTCAATTCATCACTGAAACCTAAGAGGGTCATTCTTGCTAGTGGTGGTGTCACTTCCTCAAAAGCAGTGTATAAATTCTGTTCTTCCTATTCACTGTGCATGAACTCAATCATGGCTGTGCTGCTGAGACATCTGGCAGCAGATGAAGTGAGGCTGGGCCTTGGTTAAGTGGACTCCAGCCTCTCAGCCAATGACTCAGATAGTACATTTTATTCACGTTTGATGGTGTGGAGACAGCAGGAGGCCTTATTCTGTACTGAGGGGAAAAAACTGCATCCCTCCCACTTCTATGGTTTTACCAAGAAATCTCTTTGGGTCATCAATCTAGCTCACTAGCCAGTCCACCCGAGCAGTTGAGCAGTTTGTATTCACACATACTTGTTAGACCCTGGAAGTGAGAGCAGAGGACTAGTATCAAACACCTGACCGCCCCAAGCCCCAACCACTGCACTCGCCTCACCTCCCACTGTGTCTCCTCAAGCGCAGGTGCGAAGTTGGTCTTCTCCTTCTCATAGGACCTCAGCTTGGTCTCCAGCAGGTCCTGCTCCTTCATGAGGCTCTCGAGCTCCTGCCGGAGCTGCCGCTTCTCCTGCTGGAGCTGCAGCACCTGGAGGTGCAGCACCTGCTGCGTGCGCTGGCTCTTCTGGGAGGCCTGCTTCAGCTTGCTGGCGCACTTCTGCTCCAGGCCCTCCTGCTCCTCTTTGCATCGCCGCTGCCGCTCCTCGTAGGCCTGGCTGGAGGCCAGCTCCTTCTCCTCAAAGCTGCGCTGGAGCTTCTGGAGCTCGCCCTCCCTCTCCAGCAGCTTCTGCTCGAGCTCCTGGATGGTGCACTCGTCCGTGGAGATGGGGGAGCGGACACACGAGGGGCCTTTGTCCACCTTATTCTGGTGGGCCAGCTTGCTACCCCCATCGGAGAAAGACAGAGCCTTCAGGCTCATCATGTTGCTGTCCTGCAGGATGATGCCCTGTGTGATGTTGTGGGCCGAGCCTCCAAAACGGCTGGTGGGCCCCACAGGGGTGACCAGCGGGTCAAGCTGGTAGCTGCTGCTAGTGCTGTGTGTAGGGAGGCTGGACATGGAGTTCCGGCCAGAGTCAGACAGCGCGCCGGAGCACAGGCTGGGCTTCAGCTCCTGCTCCTTGGGTTTGTCTGGGGGGACAGGGTGCAGCTGGTGGCTGCCACTCTCAGGGGAAGAGTGGAGGAGGGCTCCCGACCGAGGCAGCATGGGCTTGAATGCAGTGGGCCGCACCGCCCCTTTCTCTGAGCCCTGCGAGGAAACAGACCACGTTGACCTTTATTATCTCCCTTCAACACTCGTCTAGTCTCTGTCCCACCACACAGTTTCTGTGACCCACTCCTGAGCGCATTCCAGCCCAGCTGGCCCCCTTCTCGGTCAGTAGTCAGAGATCTCACCTGTTGCTGTAATGCTGCCTAATATGGTGAATCTAAGGGGCAGACCTTTGGTACTTACTCAGACATGTTGTTTTATGAAACGTCAAGCTATCACCAGCCTGTGAGAGTCTTCCTGAGACAAACATCCTTTGGGGGTTCATTGAGATACTGGGACTGGGGCTCTGGCTCTGGGGTTCTTGTGTGATATAAGATGAGGACATCAAGCTGGCCTCTGGAGGCCCAAGGTCTAGTCTGGACAAGATGCATGTCCCTGTACAAGCAGACCAGGATTACTGTCTTCACTGTCCCTTACACTTGGAGCAAGAACATGGGCCCTGACCTCTCACTAGTCTGGAAGGATCACTTGAGGCAACAATCCTTTTTTTAAAAAAGCACCATTTTCATCACCACGGTACTTTTCAGTTTAAAAAGCATTTTCTTTTGCAAAGCTCTTTTCAAACATAAAAGGCCATTTTCCTAATATACCAGAGCCGTGAATTCATTTCCACCAGGTGGGAAGGAGGAGGGAAGATTGAAAAGGAAAATTGTTTTCCTGCCCCTGGTGGGAACCAGGGGTATTTGGTTGAGTAACTGAGCAGTCAGGAAGCTTTTGCCGTCATCACTGTTGAACTAACAGTAACAACACACTTGCAGCCCTCGTGCAGCCAAAGATACTTCCAGGCCCGTCTGAGGTGAGGAATGCACTGCACCACTAGAACAAGTAAGGAAAAGGCCTCGGCTCTGTGGCGCAGGAGTGGAAGACTGAAGCTCGCTTCCCAGACAGGGAGCGCACTTTATGTGGTGCCAAGAATAAACCATGTCTACAGACATGCTCATGTTTTTATGATCTTGCAGAGCTTTACAGACAGATTAGGAGGAAGGGCTTGGTGATCTACTTCTGAAAACTCTATAGATCACACTGTCTGAGCCCCAGTCAGAAATGTGGATGGCCCAGGATTGGGAAGTGGTTCATTCCTCTCTCTGTGCACGAGGCTGGCATGGGCTGGGGGCCAACGTGCAGGCAGGCAACCACTACCCAGGAGGGATATACAGAGTCGGCCACAGAGAGAAGCTGCAAACTTGCCAAACATACTCTTCATCTGCTCTTACAGATAATGCAAAATTCCCTCCCCTTCTCATGTGCTTGAAAATGACACTGTCTGTCCTACCTTAAGAGTCCAGAGTTACATCCCAGCAGTGCTCAGGCAGGCTTAACTTCCATAGTACTCTTTGTTTTCAAGTGGGCTAAGACTCCTGGTTTGGGCAACTGACCAGGGCTCTACTCCCTTGTCCAAGCTTGGCTTTCTGTGCTAAGCTGCCATTAACACCTCTTTTAGAGATTGAAAGGTTTCAGAGTTCTTCCCCACTCCTGCCCCCATTTTGATCTCTTCTGGCTCTCTAACTCTTCCCACCTTCACCACAGACCCTCACTTACCATTTCTAGCTGATTGGAGAAGGGCATGTGCTTGGGTGGGGTGGACAAGCCGAAGTCCACCCCAGCCTGGCCCATGTCCCCACTGGACAGGGCCGTGTAGTCTGGGCGGTGGGAGCCCCGGGCCTTCTGGCTGACCTTGATGTAGAAGAAATCTTCGCTCTTGCCCATTTTGGAGCTGGACTTGCCATGACCCGACTCCTGGGAAAAACCGAACCTCAGCAGTCCATCCGAGTACCGATTGAGCTTCTTGAGTTGGGAGGACTTGCGCAGCTTGTACTGGGAAGCCCGGCAGTGCTTGCTGTGGAAACCGTGGCCGGAAATGAGGCTACTGACGCTTCCCATGGTGACTTGGTGCCAAGGAGAGGCAGGGCAGGGAGGGAGCCTGGCGGGGCTGTGACAGCAAGGGGCAGTCCTGATTCCGTGAGAGGGCTGCAGTCATAGCAAAATCCTCACAGCCTGGGAGACTGTAGACCTGGAAAGAGACATAAAGCAGAAGTCAGTCTGAGAAGGGGCCAGTTCTCAATGATAACTAAGTCTCACTGTCAGAGCAATGTGCATCATAAGTCCAGCCCTGTTTCTGCTATTGGGTCCTCCTTTCAACCTCACTTTCCCCACCAGTTGAGCAAACATTCACTGAGAATCTACTTCAGCTAGTTTCTACGCAACACCGGGGACAAGGGAGTCAACGAAGTGATCACAGTCTCTACACTATGGCGATTCCATTCAGCAGGTAAATATGTATAACATTAAAGGACAGGTCCCTGAGAGACATAAATGAATTACACATGGTTAGCCGCCAGATGATTGGCAGCTTATATCCACCTGGTAGCACCAAGGAAGACAGCACCTTGGCAATCTGCTACCATGAGATCACAGCCATTGAAAACCCGATACTTCATTTCTACTCAGACACACACAGGGGGCCACAGGAGTTGGAATCAACGGCAATGGATCTATCAAGGGATATACGCAATATGGGAAGAAAACAAAGCTGAGTTAGAAGGACAGAGTTTGGGAAGGTGTTATTTTATGTAGCCTGGGTAGTCTCTGTTACATTATCATCTGAGGAGACATAAAGGAAATGAAAGAGCAAGTCTCACCAAATCTGTGGAAAGACATGAAAGAAGACTTGTGGGGTGGGACATAAGATATATAGGGAGAATATGGCAGGACATTTACATGCAGGAGCTGTTAGTGCACAAGAACCAGCCAAAAGAGTAGATGAGGGCACTCGAAGAGTAAATGCAGGAGCACAACACTGACAGCTAGTGCATGAGGCAATCCATGAGGAGCAGAGGGCAAAGGAAACTCAGGAAGCCTGGACAGTGGTGTAGGAGACCAAAGAAGCAAGCAAATAAACTGACACATAAGGATAGTTGTCAAACGCTGCTAAGAGGTCAAGATCGATGACAACTGAGAACTGGTCAATGGACAGCCATGTGGGAATCATTGGTGATCATAACAAAAATAGGTTTGATTGAGTACTAAGAATAAAGGCCTGACTGAAAAGAGTTCAAAGGAGAAAAATTGAAGGAAATAATTGTAAGCTTGAAAGTTGAAAAGAACATGATGGATGTGGTTTGGATTCTCAGCTATGACCACTGAAGCTAACTATTTAGTCATTAGCTTTGCAAATAAATTCTATGACATTTAATTTTTCTTAAAAAGACTTGTTTGGATAGAGTTGTCTCTTGCAATCAACACTTAAAGGTAAGTATGGAAAGCTTGCCAATAACCAGGCAGAGGAACAAATTGGGATGTCACAAGCTGTACATGTACAGGTTTAAGTACAGATTTTGAAACCTAGGAAAGAAAGGCAGTGTGATTGCTGTGCATTGTTACAGAAGAGAAACTGCATGCTTCATGAAACAAGAAAAAAAGAGTCTTGCATTTTAGCCCTGCTGTAAACTACACTGTTAATACTAAAAGAGCTAAAGAACCCCAAGGGTTATGGGGAGCCATGAATCCAAGCCTACGAAGAGTCCCATGACTCTGTAGGCTGTCAATATGAGGGCTGGGATTCCAGACTGCATTGCTCACCTAAAGGATAAAGTAGAAATGTTATGAATAATTGTATTCCGGTGCATTACGCATTATACTGTTAACAAATAGGTCAGCAGTTTGAATTTGCCAGGTGCTGCAAGACAGTAAGATGGGCAACCTCCTCCTAAAAAGCGTAACAGACTTGGAAACCCAATGGAGGGCTGATAGGCGTTGGAATGACGTAAAGGCAAAGGGTTGGTTTAGACTGGTTTGGTAGTCTATTAGTAAAAATACAATAAAACATCTATCATATCTAACTTTAATAATGTACTTTTACGCAAAAGTTTTTGTGTGTGTACCGTAGAGCTGGAACCGACACACAGATGACCCTCCAGCAGGTTTTCAGAGTTTACATTAATTGCAGTTAATTGTACGGGAGGAGAATGGCCATCCTTCTGTAGAGCAGCTGGTGGCCTTGTGTGTCTTCGGGATTGCAGCGCAGCTTCTTGCCACTAGGCCACCAGAGCAACCTTAGTAAGTAAATCAACTTAATCAGAGTCAGTAGGCCAAATTGGATTAATAGAATCAAAGAAATGTAATAAAATCCACTTCATGGGATTGTTATGAGAAGTACATGAAATGCCACTAGAGTAGCTCTGATACTATACAAATACAAGAAAGATCTGTTAATATAATTATTTTTCAAATTTCCATACTAACCCCTAATGTCAAAGATGAAGAAATTGAGGATTTCTATCAACTTCTGTAGTCTGAAATTGATCGGATAGACAATCAAGATGCACGAATAATAACAACTGGAGGCTGGAATGCAAAAGTTTTAAACAAAGAAGAAAGATGAATAGAGAAAACATGGCCTTGGTTACAGAAATGAGGCTGGAGACAGAATGACAGAATTTTGCACTATCCATGATTTATTCATTGCTAATGATACCTTTTTAAAAAACATAAACTTCGACTAAACATATGGACCCCACCCGGAGGAATACACAGGAATCAAACTGATGACATCTCTGGAAAGGGAAAGATATGATGGGAAAGCTCAGTATCAGTAGTCAGAACAAGACATGGGACTGGAACAGAGTATTGATTCCTCATATGCAAGTTTAAATTGAAGCTGAAGAAAGGTAAAAGAAGTCCATGAGAGCCAAAGTACAAATCTGAGTTTATGCCACTTGAATTTAAAAACAATCTCAAGAATGGATTTGACGTCTGGAACAGTAATGACTAAAGATCAGACAAGCTGTGAAATGACATCATCCATGAAGAAAGCAAAAAGTCACTAAGAAGAAAGAAAAGACCAAAAATAGATATCAGAAGAGACTCTGGAACTTGTTCCTGAGCACAAAGAAGCTAAACCGGAAAGAAAGGAAGCAAAATAACAGAATATTTCAAGGAGTAGCTAGAGCAGCACTTGCTGCAGAAGTTCAAGGATTACAGACTTCCATATGGATTGAAGCTCAACATCAAGAAAACAAAGATTCTCACCACTGGGCTGATGGGTAGCATCATGATACATAGTGAAAAGATTTAGACTGTTGACAGCTTTAGTGTGCTTGGCTCTACAATCAACACTCTTGGTACCAGCAGCCAGAAAATTAAAAGATGAATTGCATTGGGGACATCTGCTGTCAGAGACCTCTCCAATGTACTGAGGAGCAACGATGTCAGTCTGGAGACTAGGGTGCACCTGATACAGGCCATGGTCTTTGCCATTACTTGCTATGCTTCAGAGAGCAGGACAATGACTAGAGATGATAGAAGGAGAGTTGATGCCTTTGAGCTGTGGAGCTAAAGAAGAGTATTGAATATACCATGGACTCCTAGGAGAACAAACAGATCTTAGAAAGGGTGAAACCAGGCTGCTCCTTGGAAGCAAGGATTCTGAAGCTCCATCTGACATACTTTGGACATGTTGCAAGGCAGGATCAGTCCTTATAGAGGGATGTCATGTTTGGGAGGGTGAAGGGACGGTGCAGGAGAGGAAGACCCTTGATAAGATGGATTGATTCAGTCACTGGGGGAATGGGGATAAGTGTCTCAGAGACAGTGAGATTGGCAAGGGATAGAGCAGGATTTAGGGCTAGTGTACATAGGGTCACTATGAGTTGCAAGTGACTCGATGGCACATAACAACAACAGCTAGGGAAATATTATAACAAAATGTGCAAACCCAGAGTTAGAAAACCAACAGAGAAAACATGGTCAGCACTTTTTAAGCGGAAAGAGCTGGTACACAGCACAGGCTAGGCTCCACAGATGTGTGTAGCTACACAGAAGGCAAAGACATAGGTGCTGACCTCATCATGAAGCTGATAATATAATTAGAATCTGATTATAACTACACGTGAATCCATTTCCTTCTCTGCTTCCCCACTGCCACCTCTCACTGGGACTTTTAGAGCCTCGAAACTTGTTTTTCTACATACACCAGATTCTGAAGTGTCCAGGCCACCACAACTCCCTCATGAAAAGCTTTCAAAGCATTCACTCTTCTCAGTAAGGCTATTCACTCACAGGCTCTGTTTTGCCAGTGCTCCAATCTTATCTTCCACCATTCTTCCCTTGTTCACATCCGAAATACAGTCCCAGTCACCTCTTTGTTTCCTACACACACCCAGTCTTCCCACTTAGTAACGTTTGCACCTAGTGATCTCTATCTGGAATTCCCTTCCCCTGGGTCTTTATACGTGTCACAATTCCTCATCCTATGGTTCTGAACTCAAATAGCACCTCTAGCTTTTTCTTGTTACTCTATTAGGGAGCTCGAGTGCCTTAGGGGTAAGAAGCTGTGCTGCAATCCCAAAGGCACTTGGTTCAGATCCACTAGCTGCTCCACAGAAGGATGGCCAATCTCTTCTCATGTGATTTACTGCCTCTGAAAACCTGCTGGAGGGTCAGCTCTCGGTCAGTTTTGACTCGATGGCACACAACAACAACAACAACTACTACTACTATTCTGTGAAAACAGAAACCCACTGGAGGGTCAGCTCTGAGCCTCTTCTGACTTGGCAGCAATGCATGATCCTTGGATGATTTGTTGTGCAGCAGCACTATTCTAGGTTCTAGGAGACTGAGGGAGGAGGTAGACAGATGAGGCCCAAAGGAGAGGGGCAGTTAAAAATGGCCACTACTGGTCCTTCTGGAGGGCAGTCTTCTTCCTTAGCCCTGGACAGTCTATGTCCCAATCTGATACACACAAAAAATTCCTCTGATCCTGGGACCCAACCAAAGTTAAGATTATCACTTATCTAAGATTATCTAAAGAAGAGAGATTTTTTAAAAACAAAAGAAAAAAAAGCAAAGAGAATAGGAGTCAAAAACAGTGAGTGACAAAAGACCCCCTTCTCACTCCAGTTACTTCTAAGAATCTGGCCTCAGGGAATTCAGGAGACATCCTCTCCTCGCCGCCGTTCCCCAAGACAAGAGTCAACATTT